CATGAGTGAGGACAAAGTGCGCGGTAAAGGCTCGTGGTGGTTTGTGAGGACAGTACTATTGGTCTAGAGTAACTACCTCGGGTCCGTGTGGGGCCCTGGGGTGTTACAGGTGGTAACAGAGCAACCCTGCGACAGTGTACTGACCCGTTAGATATCGGGCGGGCATTTAGCGGGGCAAGATTCTGGGGTTTGATTGAGATTGTTAAGGGCGCAACGAGGACGTTGCGATCCTAAGTGGGGGTGATTGTAATACCCGAGATTAATATAAGAGGATTAATAGTACTACTCATACCGACAAGATGCATCTCCTTTTAAGGGAGCTCATCACCCAAGAACTCCAAAGTTAAGCGTGCTTGCACGGGAGTAGTCTTGGGATGGGTGACCCCCTGGGAAGTTTCTTAGGGCGCGCATGAGTGAGGACAAAGTGCGCGGTAAAGGCTCGTGGTGGTTTGTGGGGACAGTACTAGAGGTTTAGAGTAACTACCTCGGGTCCGTGTGGGGCCCCGGGGTGTTACATACTATGACACCTTCCAAGGTCTCGGGCTGGACCGAAAAGACTTGATCCCGGTGAGAACCCCACTCTCAGGCTTCACCGGGGACTCCATTGAGTCGGAGGGCAGCATAGTCCTCCCTGTGATGGTGGGCTCCGAGCCCTGCGTATCCAAGTTAGACGTCGAGTTTATCGTCGTACGCCTAACTTGTGCGCATAAGATCATCATGGGAAGGCCGGCCCTGGAAGACCTCAAATGTGTGATATCCCAGGAGCACCTATGCATGAAGTTTCCCACTCCGAATGGCGTCGGAGTCGCCAGGGGAGATCAGCGAATGGCGAGGAGCTGCTATCTGAAAGCTTGCAAACAAATCGGTCAAAAAGACTTGAGGATCCACACTATCAACAGCAAAGCCATGAAGTATGAGGAGGGTCAGCTCCGCGCTGAACCCACCTCAGACGTGGAGGAGATCCAGATTGACCCCGAGAGGCCGGAGCGGAAGGTCAAGATCGGGACCGGGCTCCCGGCCGGCTTGAGGGAGAGGATTATCCAGGTACTTGTCCTTTTTAGCGTTGTCTTCGCGTGGGGACCGGAGGACATGCCTGGCCTTGACCAAAGCATCGCTGTCCATCGGCTGGCGGTCAATCCAATGGCAAAGCCCATCCAGCAGAAGAGAAGACACCTCTCAACCGAGAGGAGGGAATTCGTGAAGAAGGAGGTCAATATGCTCCTAAGTATCAAGCATATCCGGGAGGTCTTGTACCCGGTCTGGCTGGCAAACGTGGTCCTGGCCCCGAAGCCGCCAACCTGGAGGATGTGTGTTGATTACACCGATCTCAACAAGGCATGCCCGATGGATCCATTCCCATTGCCTAACATCGACCAACTAGTCGATGGGACGGCCGGATGTGAGCTCCTTAGCTTCATGGACGCTTTTCGAGGATACCATCAGATTTTCATGCATGAAGAAGATGCGGAGAAGACCTCATTCGTCACCCCAGAGGGGATTTTTTGTTATCTTGTCATGGCCTTCGGGCTGAAGAACTCTGGGGCGACGTACACGAGGATGGTGGCCAAGGTATTCCGGAAGGTGCTCGGAAGGAACATGGAGGCGTATGTTGACGACATGATCGTCAAGAGCACCCGGGCATCCGATCATGCAGATGATTTGGCAGAGATCTTCGGGATCATGAAGGCAGTCCGTCTGCGCCTGAACCCGAAAAATGTACCTTTGCCGTCCAAGGAGGCAAGTTCCTGGGGTACATGGTCACACGGAGGGGGATTGAGCCAAATCCTGAGAAGGTAAGGGCAATACTTGACATGGAACCCCCGAGGTCGGTGAAAGAAGTCCAGATTCTCACCGGCCGGCTAGCAGCCCTTGGACGTTTCATGTCCAAGTCCGCCGAGAAGTCCCTACCCTTCTTCCAAGTCCTAAAGAAACAAAATGGTTTCATCTGGAATGATGAGTGTCAGCGAGCCTTCGACGACTTGAAGAAGTACCTCCTCTCTGAGCCTTTACTCAGCAAGCCGGAGAGGGGGGAGACGTTAATCCTTTATCTTGGGGTTTCCCAAGGTGCAATCAGTTCCGTGCTGGTTCGCGAGGAGGAAGGCGTTCAGCGTCCCGTCTACTATGTGAGCAAGACCCTCCAGAATGCTGAGCTCCGGTACACCCCGCTCGAGAAGACAATATATGCCGCCTACATCACCGCCAAGAAGTTGACACACTACTTCCAAGCGCACCCGATCAGAATCCTGTCGGACCAACCCCTAGGTGCCGCTCTGAGGGCGCCCGGCACAACCCGGGTAGTGAAGTGGTCGATGCTCCTCAACCAATATGAGGTTGACTTCCAGCCTCGGACGTCCATCAAAGGCCAGGCTCTGGCTGATTTCATTGTGGAATGCACAGCCCGAGAAGTGGCAGATAGGCAACAGGAGAGCAATGAACAATGGTGGACTCTAGCGACTGATGGGTCGGCAGGAGCCAAGGGATGCGGGGGCGGAATCGTCCTCATCTCACCCGAGGGATTCCGAGCCTACTATGCCTACCGCTATCTTTTCAAAGTCTCCAACAATGAGGTGGAGTACGAGGCCCTACTATCTGGGCTACGATTGGCGGCCGCCATGGGAGCAGAGTGGATAACGGTGAAATGTGACTCCCGTCTGGTGGTTTCACAAGTCAAAGGTGAGTTCGAAGCGAAGGAAGAAAGAATGATCAAGTATCGAGATGTTGTTCGGGAGTTGCTCGGGTTGTTCAAGCAAGCAGAGTTGATTTGCATCCCGAGAAATCAAAACTCCGATGCAGACCTCCTCTCAAAGCTATCCCAAGGGTTACCTGAACATATATCGAGAATTGCACGCATTGAGGAGATGACGACCTCAAGCATATCAGCCTCACCGTCCATTGACGTCCTTCCCCTGCAACCAGTCGCCTGGTGTTGGGTGGATGACCTCCTGCGCTACATGGTCGATGGGACGCTCCCCGAGAAAGAAGAGGAGGCAAGGTTAGTCCGGCGACGAGCTCCGGGCTACGTCGTCTTGGATGGGAAGTTGTACAAGAGGTCCTACAATGGGACCTTGCTAAAGTGTTTACGCCCACATGAGGCGGAAATGATCGTCTCTGAACTCCATGGGGGCGTATGCTCCGCCCATCAGGGGGCAGGCACGTTAGCTAGGAAGGTCGTCCTCCAGGGGTACTTTTGGCCAACAATAATGAAGGATTGCGCTGACTATGCAAGGAGATGCAAGACATGCCAGAAGTTCCAGAAGAGCCCCGGCCGACCAGCAACGATGTACACACCGATCAGCACCGCCCTTCCATTCACAAGATGGGGTGTCGACCTGGTCGGTCCCTTACCAACCGGGTCGGGAAACCGGAAGTTTGTCATCGTCGCAGTGGACTACTTTACGAAGTGGGTTGAGGCCGAGCCGCTTGCCAGCATCACACATCTCCAATGTAGGAAGTTCATATGGAAGAATATTTTCTGCCGGTTTGGGGTTCCCCTTCAAATAATCTCCGACAACGGAAGGCAGTTTGACTGCGAAGCCTTCCGACAATTCTGTGCAGAGTGGGGCGTAGAATCCAGCCGAGTTGCGGTCTGCTACCCCCAGGCAAATAGACAGGTGGAGAACACCAACTGGACGATCGTCGATGGACTGCAAAAGAAGTTGGAGGCCCTCGGGACTGCCTGGGTGGAGGAGTTGAACAATATACTCTGGACCTTCAGAACAACCCCAAGGAAGGCAACAGGAGAGACCCCCTTTGCCTTGTGTTATGGCTTTGAGGCGAGGGCACCGTTCGAGGCCGTAGTTCCCAGCCGGCGAGTGGAAGAGTTTGAACCAGCCAGCAATGAGGAGAGGCTCCGAGCCGAGCTCCACCTCATTGAGGAAAGAAGAGACCGTGCCTTCATCAAAGCGGAAAACTATCGACGACAAGTCAAGGCGTACCAAGACAGCCGAGCCCGACCCCAGAGTTTTGACGTCGGTGATTATGTCCTAAGACGTAGGAAGGCCAGCAGGCCGACAGAGGGAGGTAAGCTCTCCGTCAAGTGGGAAGGCCCTTACGTGGTTGACGCAGTGATCGGCCCTGGGACATACAAGTTGAAGACAACAACAGGCCGGTTGGTAGACCGCGTCTGGAATGCCGAGCACCTGATGAAGTTTTACCAGTAGAAAATCGAAGTTTCACTTTTCTTTGTAAACTCCTGTGCTCCGAGCCCGGGATTACAATTTGTAATTCTTCATGTGGTCCGCCCACATCATGAATTCAATATACTTTGCTAGCGATATTTTGTCATCAAAAGAGGTCCGACCTCACTTAGCAATAAAGGGCGGCGGCGACAAAAAAAAAAAGGGTACTATGCCCCCCCTCGGTGTTTGGCCGACCTCGGCCAGGCTCTTTAACCAAAAATAGCCAAGTGATTTTCAAGAATCCAGACAATTTTCTAAAGTAAAGAGCTAGCCGCGACAGTCGAGGCGATGGTAGGGCCGACCTCCGGGTCGAGGGTACTCAGGATGCTGACCTCCGGGTCTTTTCGAGTGCTCACCGCCTAACATCGCTGGCCAAGCAGCTCGCACTCTCGTCATCCCTGAGTTGGCGGTGCGGGTTCATTCTGGTGGATCATGCAGGGTCCGCCCCTGTTGTTTGGCTATCCATGCGGGAGTAACCAGATTATTCCCCAAGTCCGGGCAAACTGGATGGGTTAAAGTGACAGTAGGACTGACCCCCGGGTCATGAACGTTCAGGATACCGACCTAAGGGTCTTCCTCGTCGGTTCAATGTCCGACATCGCTGGCCAAACAAGTCGCTTATTTGTTGATTCCATATCAATAGCGAACAGATCACTTCTATCCAACTAGGAGGGGCACGGATAGGCCCGACCACGCCAGCCTAACCGCCCCCGGGAGGTTAGAGAAGCCAGATCCCCGAATAAATTGCTAAGTATTCGTAATGCAAAGTATAGAAAAGGAAACATATGAATTAAAAGGTAATATTCATTCGAATTTTACATATGGCGGCTACAAGCTACAAAAAAAAAGGTGCAACAGTCATGGCCGGATGTTCCCATGGCCAATCAAACTATATGCAAAGGCAAGGTCCTCGTCTTGGATACGAGGGGGGAGGTCCGCTATCCCGCTATTATCAAGGTCCCACCAAAGATTCGGGTCCTCCCGAGCACCAGAGTCATCGTCGGAATCTGACATGACCACATGTTGTGCCCGCGCTCTATCTGGAACGCTCAGTTGCCGACCCTCAGCAGTAGTGGTCCGCCTAGCTGGAGCCATCTCAGGGAGAACGTCAAACCTGCAAAAAAAAAAAAGAAAGAGAAATAACAAAACATCAAACTGCAGGCTAACATGGACGGCGTCATCAAAGGGTGGACCCGCCTTGGCCGCCTAGTGGTAGTTGTCGGCTTCCTGAGCTACACCTGCCGGCAGGGGGGCCGCCGCCAGCCCCTAACCCAAACTGTCTGGCCAAGGTGGAGCCGAGCACCGGAAGAACTGCTCACGTGAGGCACCATACAACGGCCTGCAACAAACTGCCTTCAAACTCATGGGGAAAGCTGGGGGCTTACCCCAACTCCAGCCTTCTACTCCATCACAACCAGGGGATCGATGCCGAGTCTAGGTACGCATGGAAATTAAAGACAAAAGAAACATGCAACGGCGGTTCGTCGGACATCGCGGAACCCCGGGGGTAGAGACTCCAGCCGGGGCATCCGGTCCAGGACTCTGACCTTGGACCCGCCACCACCGGGTGGCTGCTGGGCTGGAAGCTACATCCACCACCTTGGAAGCCGCACTGCCGACCGGGGTGCCAACCAACTGGGTTTGATATTGGCCTGCCACGCATCGGAGAGAAAACTCGCCGGACAACGCGAGGGGCGAAGAACACCAGCCTGGAGGCGTCTTTCTGCCTGGGGATCTGTCTGTCGTGGCCTGGGAGCCTTGGCTGCCCGGGGATCTGTCCGTCGTGGCCGTGGCCCCGTAGTTGGCGGCCTTCGAATTTGAGTTCCAAGAATAGCCGGCGGAGGAGCCACGCGGCGGCAAAACAGCCTGGCCGCCTGAGAGAGGGACATCATCCAGCCGAGGGGCGCCTGGCCGCCTGACCGCCAACCACCTGGGCGACGACGGCCGGTAGGGGCGGCCGCCAATACCTGTAAATTGCGCCGACCAAGGTCCGGGCCGACCGGCCGGCCGACCAGATTCGCCGGACTGGCGGGCGACGTCGGCAACCGGCGGCCAACACTGGACGTCCGCCTGGCACGGCGGGGGCGACACGGGGAAGCTACGGGGCGGCGGTCAACCACACCAGCTTGGGACGGCGGCACTGCGCGACGCGAGGAAGACGGACGCGAGGAAGACGGACGCAGGAGAGAGAGGAAAGAGAAGAAAGGAAAGAAAAAGGAAAGGAAAGAAAAAAGAAAGGAAAGAAAAGAAAAGGAAAGAAAAAAAAAAGAAAAGAAGAAAAGAAAAGAAAGAAAAAAAAAGGAAAGAAAAGAAAAGGAAAGAAAAGAAAAGGAAGGAATTTATTTGGAGCCTTTTTTGGGAGCCTGATTTAATTTGGGAATTTCCATAAATTCTGGGATTCCCATAATCCACAATTATGGCTCCCTGATATGTGAATATTTTTAAATCGGCAGCTGACTTAAACTACTCCCTCTTAGCCGAGTCTACTACTCGACTAAGGGAGTGGGGGACTCGTGATGGGGTTATGGGACTAGGCCCAGAGCCTAATCGGCCCAGGCCCCGAACTTGGACCAGCGGGCCCAAGCCCACCAACCCAGAGCTCGAGTCAGCCCAACCAACCAGGACAATCAAGGAGCGGAAGCCCAAGAGAGCCTGTCGACCAGCCCAGTGGGGAGCCTGCCTTCCAGCCCAGTGGGGAGCCCGCCTTCCAGCCTAGCCAGGAGCCTGCCGACCACCAGCCCAGCTGGGAGCCTGCGGTCCAGCCCAACTGGGAGCCTACGATCCAGCCTACCCGGGAGCCTGCCTTCCAGCCCAGTGGGGAGCCTACCTTCCAGCCTAGTCAGGGGCCTGCCGACCACCAGCCCAGCTGGGAGCCTGCGGTCCAGCCCAACTGGAAGCCTTCGGTCTAGCCTACCCGGGAGCCTGCCTTCCAGCCTACCCGGGAGCCTGCCTCCAACCCGGTCAGAAGCCTTCCTCCAGCCTAGCGGGAAGCCCACCATCCAGTCCAGCAGGAGGGAGCTCAAGCGTCCAGCCTGCCAGCCAGGCTGACCTGCCAGCCAAGAAGAGTAACGACCAACAATTAATGCGCGACTTAATTATGTGTTTAATTCTGTATTAATGTTGTAATTAATTTAGTCATTATTATGTTCGGCAGTTACCATTTGTAATCGCCTATAAAAGGCAATTCGAATTTCAAATACAGATATGCTATTTCTGGCTAACTTTCCATATTCGTACTCTCCTAATTCCTGCTTGAGTGTCGTACGTAGCTTTCCTAAAAGTCTACGAGCGTCCTATTTTGGACCAACAAGATACAATACATCCCATTACTATAACGTCTCCGTATTTTCCCTGAAAACGATGCTCACAAGTCACAACATCATCATGTAGCTTGAATGATTGATTTTGAACGTAGAATACCTACAAGTTGAATAAAAATCACAATTAAAGTCTATAAAGAACGGCACATGTAAAAAAAAGTAGCACAACTAAAACTAAAAATATAGTGAAAACTATGTCTTATCTAATACAATAATATCTGCACTCAAAATATTCCTTTTAAATCTGAGACTCCAATTTAATGTATAATACAGTAAATATTAATATGTCATACAAGTAAGTTATAAGCAACGACCAACACATGATTCTATTTTTTTCTCCTACAAATAGAATGATTACTTAAAGATTTTAAACAACACCTCAGTTCATGTTAAATCGTCTGGAATAAAAATTTTAACAAATCAATTGTTCATAAATTGTTCATGATTTATATACAAACCAATATATATCCAAACTAATACATATTAATAAATTGTTCATGTTTTATATACTAACCAATTTTTAACAGTTACTCATGAATAAGTTACTATATATATAGAACAAAGTTGTAGCCTAAACGATAATATAACTACATATTACATGTATAGCAACACCTTTTTTATGGTATGTGTATATATAATATCACGATAAAAACAGAATATGATAGCAACATTTTATACTAATATATAATGAAATGACTATTTATGTACTAGCAAAAACAGCTTCTTTAAGTAACGCAAATTAGATATTAGATATTAACACAAAGAAGAGATGATTATAACTGGTACAAGACAAACATATAAGCTATAAGGTTCTTATATCATCTCAAGATAAGTAGAATCAAATATACTTACCATTGGGGGTTAACTTGATGAATTCCTTTTAGTTTCAATCGAAACTAAAAGGATTAGAAGAATCAAATATTGAAATCTAGTGAGTTAGAAGATTACAATTAGTCATTTTATTAAGTTGAAACCATAACAAGAATTAAGCGATTCAAATATTGAAATTACATGTTATACATCCAATTATGCAAATGCATGTCATACCGTCATCACTTAATAATAACTAATGTTTCGAAATGGAGGCTTAAAACTAATGAGCAGAAAGAGAAAATAGTATATTGACTAGTAGCGAACCTTAATACATGTAAATCTCAATAGAGAGGGTCTTACCGATTCAATATCTTCTCTCATGTGCCTAAATGCTATTAATCTCTAGGGATTAAAACCATCAGGTACCTGCAACATTCAGTAGTGTAAGAATATGTTTAGTGTAATGAAAACTGTCTGCTTTTAATGAAAATTGAAAGGTTCAAATGAGTGAATTTCATTTTCTCCCATCCACTTTTACATATAATGCATATATATAGAACAGTATTAAAAATGATATTTATAACTTCTAATATTTAATACTACATATATAGGTCAAAATATATTTCATGGCGGCTCCTTGACAGGTAAACACCATCAAAAATAAACTATTTTATTTCCAATCTAAATAAAGATTGAATGAGAGATATAATACCCTTACTATTTCTGACTCTTCTTTCTCCAGAGATCGCCGAACATTTTGATGCCAGCTTTTCTTGATCCTGCTTCAAATGGAGAGTAGTTTTTATTCTTTTACGGCTTTACCTTGGCCGATGTTGCCTCCATAGCCTTTCCGTTCATTCGTTGCTTCAGGATCTCGTTTTCTCTGTAGACATTTGCAAGTTCTTTTTCCTTCTCTTCGAGCTTGGCCCTTAACAAGCTTACTTCATCATATTCTTCCGAGCAATCATATAAACCACACTTGCAGGTCTGGTTCTTTTTCATTGTCAAGGATGTCTTGCTTGGGAAAAGCTAGTTTCATTGTTTTCTTCTTAATTTTCTCCTGCACCAAAAGATCTAAAAGTTTCAACCCTCTTTTGTTGCTTTCAAATTAAAAGACAAAAACATACTGAACACAATTAGCAAAAGAAGCACTAAAGAAAAGAAAATTCTATAGTGAGAGAATTAAAGTATCTATAGAGACAGCAAAACCACAGAAGTTCATCAAACTTCACAACAACAATATGTGCACCTTTCCTTAGAGTCTCTCCCAAGTGTGAGTCAATGCCACAGATAATCTTACACTCCTTTACCACTCTGGGTGACAAAACCACATCTCCAACGACTGATTAGTCAACCCTAACATCTCGTATACCTCTACGTGAATCGCTTCAGTTCTAATTAACTAAAAATAAGTGTGATACATAGTAAGCTCACGAGCTCCTGCAATCTTTACACACGAAATTCACTTTTCTATGTACAAGAGTTTGACTTACAATAGTAAATTTCGTTGAGAAATTTTAAAGAAAAAATTCTAGACATCACCAAACAAAAAATTAACCAATAAATTATATCTTATTACCCATCTCAAATGTGAAGAAATTGAGCAAACTAAGCACGAAAAAGGAAACAAAAATCAAACTTAAGTATTAAATTGGTGGATATTGGCGTAAAAGGATGTTTTTACCTGATAGCCTGAAAGAAAGAAGACGTGCCTTAGACATCGGCGGTAGGCAGTGGAAAATCGGTGGCTAGTGACGTGGCGGGATGGTTGATCAGCGGGAATAGTAGCAACACGAGTAGGCTGGCTGGTCGGGGGGAAGAGTAGCAACGTGGGCAGGCTGGTTGATCGGCGGGAACAGTAGTAGATCTAGTCTCCTCATTCTCAACTTCGTCCGAAAATGTCCATTGTTTGAATTGCCTCTCTGCTCAAGACGTATGTCTTTTCCAAGATCCGACTTATCATGACTGGAGGTTATGAAGTTGCGCAAGTTACTCTGCTGGAGAAGACGACCGCGGAGTCGTAGACCACTTCTGGCGGCAGATTAGTTCTTTGCTTCAAGCTTTTAATATTTCTAGGGTTTGATTAAAAATGAATAGGTCTTTTAATAACGGTGGATGTAGAACAGATATGGAATGTCGCTTATCATAACTTTTGCTAAATAATAAAAAGCACCTCGTTTTTCATCTTCTATAGCGGCTCTATTCTGGACCGTTATGGATAACTCTTATTATTTATAATCGAACCCTTCATAGAGACACAAAACTTTAAAGATTTATAATATTTACTCCGCATTAACACTTCATATCGGTTAGTTATAACCCCACATTAAATGCCTGTTGTAGAATGCATTTTTTGTACTAGTGAACTAGTTTCTTTTTTAAAGCGATATTTGTTGAAGTCTCACACCAAACTATTGAGAAACCATGAAGTGATGTATTAAGATCTAATTTACTTCTCCTATTATGTTGGTCTTTTATGATGAAATCTGAGATCTTTACATCATTTATTTGGTAATACTTGAGTCTAGTCTGAATAGGTCAGGTAGAAAAGTCTGAGTTCTTCTGATTTTGTCTTGTACTAGTCTAGTATATATGAACTTCATTAGCATTCAAGAACGGATTGAAGTCTAAACAGAACATATATGGTTTGTTTAGATCTATTTTGTTATGTTTAGACGTGATCTAATCTAACCTATAATAGGATAATTAAAAGTAAAAAGAACTACATTAATGTTCATATTTTATTGTTGGAAGGCAGGCGGCAACAACGATTAGACCCCAAAATCCTGGTAAGAGGCCCGATGAACTATGCTTTTCAATTCCAAGATTCAACCACGAGTCCCTTCTGAAAGGGGACGATGAACAAGTGAACAAGACAAATTATACCGTGGGATCGGCCCACCGTCCTCATGGTGTGCTGATCCCACTTTAGGAAGTTGGTCTTTCGTTTTTTGTCTCCAGGAGCAACTTCAGCCTTTTTCTTTTGCTTTCCTTTCTTCATTTTTCTTTTCTTCAAATTGGGATTTTCTGAGCTTAAACTAGGTAAAGATCATCAAAAGGATTCTGGAAAGGTCAAGGAAAGTGCAAGGGAACAAGAGAAAGTGAAAATTTGGGAAAATAGTCAAAAACCCGACTGAATTTTCCAAACACCCGATCGGGTTTGACTTGACCCGAAGATCAAATTTTGATTTGGAGACAATTAAACGTGCAGGGCGAAGATTTGGCAAAGATTTGTCTTTTACCCGATCGGGTAAATCAAAAACCCGATCAGGTAGATGTGACTAATGAAGATTCCGGGCACTTACTAAAGAAACCCGACCGGGTTTCTGAAAAACCCGGTCAGGTATATGACCCTGCCACCTCCAAACACCTATAAATACACCCCTTTTCCTTCCCATTTGATCATCCCTTCTTCCATACTCTTAAGCTCAGTTTAGAATAACATTTCTTTATATTTTTCTAGCATGTTTAGTCTCCAAATGAGGAGCTAAACTTACATTTCTTGGTGTTGCTCTTGAAGCTTGTTGATTATTAAAGTTGTGAGTTATTTTTCTTAAACTTCTTCCGTTGAATAATAATTATTAGTTCTTTCCTTAATACTATCTCTATATTAATGTTGGGGAGTGTTGCTAAGATGACAATTAGCTAACATCTTGACATTAGTTATAGTAGTATTTTCTTCATCTATATTAATGTTGGGGAGTGTTGCTAAGATGACAATTAGTTAACATCTTGATATTAATTATAGTAGGATTCATCTTCTTTAATAATATTCTTCCTTGAATATTAAATAATTCCTATTCATATTTCATATTAATATTTTGAACATTACTTAAAGGATCAACTAGTTTTGTTTCATATATTAATTATTACTAGAATCGATCGACGAATACGTTTGTTAATCGTTGATGGTTTCACAAGTAAGTAACTTCGATTTATTAATGCACGGTCGTGGTTAATAAACTTAAGAGGGATTAATTTTATTGGTTAAACCGAAACCGTTGTGTTGAGGTTATCAATCTCAATTGATTTCATCAAGGAGTTAAGAGATTAAATGCTACTATCAACTCGGTATATGGTGCGTATTCTATATTGACTAATAGTAAGGGTTATTAATGAATGGTCGTTGTTAATAACTACCCTCGATGAATTGGATATACTCCTCGATTGAGTATTCGAGAGGGAATAAGTTATAGATATAACAATGATCGACTAAAGTATATCAACAAGTGGAAAGTAGCAATGTCAAGTCCCTTCTTTTATCTTTGAATTAAATCACATATAAGTTGTTCATCTTAGTTTTTAATTAAATTAAATCATCCAACAAAACCCCCCTATTATTTACTAGTTTCATAAAAAGAGAATTATTCCTTTCCCTGTGGATACAAACTCTACTTCACCTATACTACGTATTAGTGCTAGTATTGAATTTATTTTGACGCACCGTGACAAAGTGCACGTAAACATGCAACTTAAAGCCTGTTAGAAAGTAAACTTAATTTTGGGCCAATTAAATAATGTATTTTTTTGGGCTAATGTATAAAGTGCAAAAAAAATTAGTAGTGTTCTAGAAAAAGGCTTAAATTATTGTTCTAGATAGTTTCTAGAATGTGAGATTTCTAGAGACATTCTAGAGATTAATTAAGCATTAGAGAATTCTAGAGAACTCTCCACCATCCATTGTAGATGTAGACTAGTATAAATATATGTAGTTGTGATCATTCGTAATCAAGCTTCAAGCAAACATATTTTCAAGTAATAAAATACATGTTCTCTTCACTTCCATCATCTTCTACTTAGCTAAAAGTTTTTGTTACTACAAAATCTCTTCACAACATCTTAAACTCATTTGCCTCTACCTTTAATACTTCAACAAAGTCCGTTTGGTGACTTTATTTTTCGGCTTATCAGACTTATCAACTAACTTTTTAACTAACCATGTAACTTTTGATTTCATGCGCTGAATTGTGTAATAATAAGAAAAAGTAAGGTTATAGTTACTTTTATGGTTGTATTAGCTAAAGTTACTGTAGATGACCAATTTAGCTATTTGTACATATAATGTTTTATTTATTTTTATTAGTTAAATACATTTTAAATACAATTTATTAATAAAATAGCAGAATCAGCCAATACAATCACTTCAACCATAACTTCATAAATTTTAGCAAATTCAACCGATTGAGCCGATTTCAATATTATCAAACCGACTCTTAATATTGCAATAAGCTGAGTTTTTAGCCCGAATATATCAATCTCATCCAGCTCTCGAATAATTAGGATCGCATTGGTGAAATTAGTCGGGGACATAACCATTCCTGTTGAAATATATTATTAATAGGTGTATTTTTTCGGCCTTAATGGAGTACTCCATAAGAGCCGAGGCTGATTTTTTCGGACTAAATGTAGTAATAGACCGATTTTTTCTTTTACAGTTTTACTAATTACTTTATTACTCACTAGTATTCACAGATTTAAAGATTTAATTACTTGAATAGTTGTTGATTTTCAATTCTGTCTTTTTGAATTTTTGTACAAAAAATTGTTGTCTTTTTGAATTGTGAGTTCTTAGATTCCCTTCATGGACATCCGATAAAATTGGAACAATACAGAGAAGATTAGCATGACCCCTGCGCAAGGATGACACGCACAAATCGAGAAATGGTCCAAATTTTTGTGCTTTTTCTGTTCTATATTTCATAAGGTGCGTATGCATAAGAAAGCTTGTATTTGTTTGGTGCTTAGATATATTTACCGTTAGATGACTTAGATCCAAAATGGACAACATAAGGAGCATATTTTTTTTGAAAAAAAAAAGAGTTGTGAATGTCTTTATTTTGGTTGTTCAGACATGTACTGATGCATTTTTATTTTTTTACTAATTACAAGTGTGAATTTTGAAATGCTAGATTTGTGAATAATATACTGAACTATTGATAGTGTTGTACTGTTGTTTGGTATATATGTATTTATTAATGGGAAATTCATCCCAATGACAACTCAAACAAAATAATATGCAGGGGACAATCAATTCAGCAACTAATAAAATCACACAAACAAAAGAACACCAATATGTTGACGTGGAAAACCATCACAATATGAGAAGTAAAAACATCAATCAAGCTGCACTTTGATCAGAATTAAAATGCAAGAGAGTCGCAAAATATAGCACAAATATTGCTCAACACGTACAACGAAGCAACAATTACAAGTTAGAGAATCAAGAAAACTAGAAAAACATATTTTCACTGCTACCGTGCAACGTTGATTTCTCCCACTTCAAACAACTTCTCACCGATCCAACCGTGCAGATTGAAGTACGAGAAGTAACAAACTCAAAATTTCAGCTCGATCTGACGGTGAACGAAGTTGCAGTGATGATAAATGTGTCGCAGCATAAGGGTTGTGTGAAAATCATTTTCTTCTGATCTTCTCTCCCGCTTTTCTAATTTGCCAATTAGCCCTCTTTTGCCCTTCACTTATCCCCTCTCCACTCTAAAGTGAGACCAGTGGGCAGTGGGCTTGACGTATTTTGGGCCTTTCTCCACATTGTTGGGAGCCCAAAACCCAACACTTTTTGTATTTTAATTTTTTATTCATCTTTATTTTAGAGAGATGTATTGTTTTTTTTTTATGAATAATCCAACTATAGTTCACCTTAAGTTCATATTTTTATTATTAGAAAATAGTTTATTTTTCTATTACTTCCCCGTTCTTAAATAAGTGCAATGGTCAATTTTTCACAATTGTCGAAACACAACTTTGACCATTAATATATATAATTCTCTATTACTGCGTATAAAAATAATAATTTTTGAAAAATTACAGAGACAAATTTAATAATATTTTTTTCGAAAATATATATTAATACATTAGTAAATAAAATGTAGTCAAAGTAGAACATGTGAATAATGTAAAATTCAACATGTTGCACTTATTTAAGAACGGATATCGTATGTACTATGAATAATTTTTTATTCATCTTTAAGTTGACATCCCAATTTCACTTTTTTTATTTCATTTTCATTTTGTAACTATAATTCCCCGCCATAATCAGGGCAGTCCGGCAACGACGGCATTGATGCGGTCGGCAGAAGCAATCCGGTAATCATCAACCACAGTCTGGTGACCAAGCTTGAA